CTTATAGCATGATATTGTAGAAGACTCATAGTGCAGAATGCGGATATTAAAGGCGTTCTTAAGCAGCACCCTTAAAGTGATCTGAGACGTTGCTCAAGCATTACCATTAATTGAAGTAATTATTACGAAAATTTATTGTGCGAATTGCGGATTTTAAATTTTAGCCAATCAGAGAAAACTCTGAAAAAAATTGGTGGTCGCAGCTCCAGGTTTTATTCATCGAAATAATAACTCTCTTGATTAGTTTATTCGATTTTTGACTATTATTGTTACACAAGATCTTGCTATTTTATTGGTTTAAAATTCATATCATCAATTATTTCAATACTAATTTTCAGAGAAACCGATTAATTTAATTCTTTGTCAGCTTTAAATACAACTCAATTATCGTCTTTAGATAATACAAAAATGATATTGAAGATCAAAGTGATGCAGGTAACTTTTGCCGTAACTTGTCTTAGCTATCTCTGTAATATGTAAAAGTTACGGCATTTTTACTGTAACTTTATTATATTACACTAAGTTACGGCAAAGTTACGGAAATTTACCTGTATCTCTAGATCAAATGTTTCTTTATGTTTTAAATCAATTGGAAACTTCAAATACTCAGTATATTCCGTAATTCTCCTTATGAACAATTTTATATTAATAAAAATCCTGAAGAAATGTAGTTACCAGTATAAACATTATTTTACAAGTATTATTGGCTTGTTCTATGTATATAGAACTGGAAAGCAGTTGATTACAATAAGGCAATTGACATGTATAGACTAGTAGTCGAAGATTTATTGTTTACAGAAATCTTTAAACGAGCACAACTTCCTAACAAATAATTTATTAAAAAAAACAGCTTATCTCTGGTTCTTTCCTATTTAAATGGAAAGGGAATTAAATAAAAGCATTTAAATTATTTTTAAATTCAGCATCCAAGGGATCCAGTTAGGAAAATTTAATATTAGTTGTTGTTATTTCTTTGGTTATTGAGTTATTAATGATATAACACATTCATTTAATTGGTGTTTAGAATCAGAATGGCACAAAATATGCTTGGACATTACTATATTATGGTAAAAAACTTCTAAAACGAAAAAATTGCTTTCGAATTGTATATTGCATCTGCTAATAATGGAAAGTATTTTGGATATAATATATTAGGCATAAAACCCTTGCAAATTATTATAAATTTGATATAGGAACCTGTATTAAGTTAAAGAATTATTTAACAATATGGAAATAGCAATGAGTAATCAAATGTTTACAGGGCTCAATATATGTAACAGTCAATCGAACAAAAAAATATTAAAATTTTGAATTTTGTTTAATAATATATAATAATTTAAATTTTAGAAACAATAAAACCATATTCGTAAGTTGTCTATATAAATTACCGTAATTTCTCAAAATAACGGGCATGGGAGTTATTTTGAGTTTTGGTCCAAATTAAGCTTAATTTAGGCAAATTTTGTAATTTTACCCCTGGACGTTATGTCGAGAATTTACGGTATGATTCTTTAATTCTCAAATGCTCAAATATAAAAGAAATGTGACTAACACAAAGCTCGTGATCACCAAGTTCTTTATCTAGAGCTTTTGATTGAGCCATTTGAATTCCTACTAATTTGAAATCATTATTGTTGCCTATAGGACCACAACTGACTTTAGAATTTTCACCTGGATTTTTATCACCATTTCCAATAACATTATTTATATTCCCTTTATAAGATGGTTCATTTGAAAAAAAGAATTGAATACCACTAACAACGCGTTCATTAAAATAAACGTCCACCTTAGTCACATAATTAGAATCTCCATTAAGACCTCTAATAGTATATGCATCTCCTCCCTTATCGTTTCCTACGGTCGTTCCATCATAACCTTTATATTTAACTTTTATACAATCTACAAAATAGCCTGCATGGATGTTTATACCAGTAATGATACCAGGCTTATCATAATACAATTTAAGTAATTGATTATGGTCAAATTTGTCATGATCTTTATCTGGAAACGTCTCTCTTCCATAAATTCCACATATAATGGTGCCGATATCTCGATTCGGTGCGATTGTAGGCGCTTTAGGATTCAAGAATTTATCCAATGCAAATGTGTGCAAATACATCTTCATAAATTCAACCTTTGCTTCATTTAAATATCGTGATACTACTCTATTACACATTTCTTCGTATCTCTTTTTTGCTTCTTCATTTTGGTCTGTTTCTTCGTATTTAATACCTTTGTTTGTGATTGTGTCAAAGACTTGAGGATCTTTATTATTGTATGGTATTTTACTGATTTGATTTTTGCGCCAAATTATCCATTCAGAATATATGTTTACAAAATATTGTTTATATTCTCGGACTTTTTGTTGTAAATCCGTTTCATAAGTTTCACTTGACTTGTCTGTATTATATATTTCCTAAAATAATAATAATAAATAAATAATATATTTAAGCCATTTTTTAAAATTTTAAAAAAAAACTATAACAATAAATCAATGACATACCTCATGGTAAGTGTTCCTTTCTTTCAAAATAGCAAGATGCATAAACGAAAATGTGATAGCAATAGGAATCACATTTACTTTGCTCATTTTCTTAGTCAAGCTTATATAAAAGCTATCGCACGAATAATTACTTACTATGATATTATACTTAATAATACCCTAACTTACAAAACAATAACTGAATTTTACAAAACAACAGCTGTACCGGAAGCTGAGAATATTTTAAAAGAAAAATTTAATATCAATTTCAAACCAGTTGAAATAGTAGATTCATTTTATGGTTTTGTGCAGCCTGATTATAGTAGGCTGTAAGGTATTGGTAGAAATAGTAGTTTCTGCGTTTGGTATTTGTTTTAACATTATTAGCTTTGCAGGCATGTTCCTCTGCCTGATCAGCTAAGTCATTAAGGAGTTTAGTAGGTATTTTAGCTTTTAAAGTAGTTTCTTGTTCTCTGTCAGTATAGAAGATAGAGAAATCTAGAAGTGGAGATTTTCACTGTTCATTCTTGTTAGGTGGGTAAGCAACTTCTGAGTATTTTAAAACTACTTTAAATAGTTGGTTAGTGTCATGTTGTTTGGTTTGGTTTGTTTCTGTTTTTTCTTTGTTTTCAGTGTTTGGTTTATTCAGCTTATTGGTTGCTTTCAGATACATGCATTTTTCATTTGTGCATGTAAGAGTGTGGTGGTTAGAGAAACAAGTTGCTTCTATTTGGCGTTCATATCGAGTATTTGGTTTTTTCATTTGGTATTTTTCTGGGAGAAGTTTGGCTAAATGGAGAATAAAATGTTGTCTAATTTGATGTTTGAGATAGGTAAGTGTTGTTTGTTTGTCAATAGCTTTGTCGAATTGGCATGAGTAGGCAGAGAAGATTTTCTCAAACCACTTATTAAGGTTATCTACTGAGTTTTTTAAAGATGGGATGTTAAAGTTGTCAAGGAAAAGTGTTTTAGGAAGGTTAAATAGTATTTTAATATTGAATCTTGGATCAGAGGAGATAGTGAAGTATTCTTTCTCTTGGTTGATACATTCAATTGTAGAGTCGATTTTAAACCTTTTGGGCCTCAGTTTAAAGTCTTCACTAAATTTGGTATAGTTGATAGACTGGAAGTTGTTAGTTAG